TAATAGCTCAACGTTTCATATCGTTTTCCTCAGAGGTCATCCATCAACAAGCTGTTCTTCCTCTGAAGACCGGAATTTTGAGGAGAGCGACTTCGGACTATGAGAAAAATTCCATTTAAAAATTTTGCTAGAATAAGGACACCATCATAGTTAACACTAGTATCGGTGACAAAAATCGAAAAGTATAGTTCATCAGTTTCAGTGCACTTACGGCTAAATCCAACAGCGGAACGATATCGAGCCTAACGGAATTGAATTTTTCTACGAATGTTTTAAAAGATGATGTGAGTTGCCAAAAACAAGTGCCCTTTGTTTGCTGACTTTTCCTGATGTTTGTTCTTATTTAGGTGTCTTCGCTGGTTAACGTGGTCTCGCTGTGCACCACTTTACGGGTTTTGGACTTGACCGACACGGGCTTCCCTTTGGATAAAATCTGGGCTTGCCTTGAAATATGGATGGTCTTCGTATAGAGAAGTATTATTATGCTATACGTATACCATGAAAAGCTGAGTTGGGATGAAATGGTGCCCCGGTAGCGTAACTGGTAGCGCACTTGCCCGGAAAGCGAGAGGTGCGGGTTCTAGTCCCGCCTGGGGCGAAAGTTTTGTTCACAACCCAGCATTCTTGTGAAACCGATACTAGTGTTAACTATGATGCTGTCCTTATTCCAGCAAAATTTTTAAATGGAATTTTTCTCATAGTCTGAAGTCGCTCTCCTCAAAATTCCGGTCTGCAGGAAGAACAGCTTGTTGATGGATGACCTCTGAGGAAAACGATATGAAACGTTGAGCTATTAATATTATTAAAAGCTCGTTGGGAACGGAAGAATCAAACATTTCCTAATTAATGAAGGAGAGAAAGCGGCATCGTACGATTAATGGAGAAAAAACGTACGAATAGATTCCTGTACAGAACAGCTGTGAACACTTTTCAGTGAGGCCACATTCGGAAAAGTTGACCTGACGCAGAGTGGTCAATCGTGGAAGCACTCCGGATAGCAGCACAAAACCTAGAATTGAAAAACAAATCACAAAATACATACAAAACAAGGTGTGGAAGGTGATGACGGAAGGACGCCTTACCTTTCTTATCATCTAGAACATTTTTTGATAGATCCAGTGCTTCTAGTGGTATAGAAGGATTTTGCTGTAAGGCCGATGCAAAAAGGGTGATAAAATCTCTAAATTCGAACTGCATATGCTTTGTTAAAGTCACCGGTCGTTCAGTGACGAGAAGTGAAACCTACCGCGGAAGCGCACAGTTCTTCAACTGAAGCACCTGCAAGTGACGTGATTTGCGGATGACAGCCATTATCACATCAATCATCTCCGAAGTCATTCGAATCCCGTCGGCAGCAAGACCCGTAAAGTAAGACGAATATTGTAGAACGCCCGTGATCGGAATCAAATCTCTGAGATTGAATGTTTATCAAAAAAGTGCCAGTGGATGAATGCATTTAAAGACGCTCACTTTGGCAACAAATGTGAAAAATCGTCAATCCGCAACCAGCGCACCCTATTTCACCGCATAAATCTTCTCAACATCCTGAAAACACAATGAAATGGAGAAAAGAGGACTCGAGTTGCTTCAAATACTCTCAGACTTACCCAAGATACTTCTTCTCTATAAGGTTGGTCGTAATAGTCACACAAAGCTGCATAAGTGCGTCGGAAAGAATGACATGCCTTGGCCGCAACATCTTCACTCAATGTGGAAAACTCATCATATAGAGTTTCAGGCGTCAGCTCAATAGTTGACCGCAACTGAGATCCTGTAATCAACTTCGTGAATAAAGCACGAATATGGAAGATAGTAGTTGCGTGTACGTTCTCTGAATGGGTACCCCTAACCACTCTTTCCTACGCGTGGTCTTTAGCGCGCCCAGACACCAACGATGTGTAGCGGGAAGTCACCGCGCGACGTCGCATCCATTCGCACTTCTAGTTTGCGCGCCCAATTCAGATGCTGCGTGTTTTTGTGTTGTATGCAAGACGTACCCTGCCCGTACGGTACTTACGCATCAAAATAAGCTGATCCAATTGCGAGTTAGTGCGCACGATTGCGCTGCAGATGCTTTCACTGTGGAAATGCCACAGCGACATCACGCTGTGCGGTGACGTCTTGCTACGCACCCACACACACAAGTCATAGCTATGACGATTACGGGACAAAAAATGCTTCACAGTAACCGAAAAGTAATATTTATATTGAGCAACACATTACCTATATCAGGGAAATAGCGAAGGAATGCACCAAGAACATGCTTTATCAAAGCCGTTGCCGTTGCCTGTGGACTTTTAATAACATATCGCTTCTTATGACCTGCTTCCTCGAATGATACTGCTACCTTGAAAATGAACAATAGAGCATAATCAAACTAAAGCATAGAAAAGTCACAAAACCAAAACGATTCAAGTGTGGGACAGCACGAGAAAAATTTGAAGGACCAGTTGCACTATTAGTAAACTGGAAGAAAGTGAGAAACGCAGAAGTTCTAGAGTTTGACCCCTTGTTATAGTAGCATCAGACCAACCTACGCTTTTTGTTTTGATCTAGGCATACTCATACGTCCAGACGCTGGGCGCTTCTCCTTTTGTATGCAATTTGCATGTTAAATTCTGCTCAACGATAACACCCAAATAAACGACAAGGAAAGGTCAATCGGTCAGTTCGGCTATTTGGAATGAAATGTATACCTACACACGTGTCTCGAGACGCTGAGTTCAAATCCAGTTTAGTTATCTGCAATCGATTTCCTGAAAGAGGTTATGAAGCAAGAAAGCGCAGTGGTAGTGACCTTGGCTCACACACAGGCAAGAGGTTATGGGCTCGATTCCAGTAGAGTCCAGTCTTTTGCTCTCAGTCCACTACACTTCGCTTTTCCGCCTTACCACTCCTTTCAGAGAATCGTTCAGCAGATAACGCAAGTGGATTTAAACTCAGCGCTCGAGGCGTAAATAAGTATACATTCATTTCGAATCGTCGGACTGACCAACTGGCCGCTCTTTGTAAAGAGTTATTTTAACTTTAAAAAAGAAAAGATCGCTTCACATTAAGCATTTACAAGTATGCGTGCCGAGGTTAGTTTGCTACTGGACGGAGAAAGGACGTTACAACTCCTCGTATTTCCACAAACCCACACTAAGAGACATCTATCAAGCACCGAGTTGAGACATCACGCTGATTTGCAATGAGAGACGATCTAAGCTCTCAATCAGACAAGACTGCAGGTAACGAAGTGAGAACGTTACTCGTGCTTAGTGAGCGGCACAGACTCTCAGGAATCATTTGAATTTTGAAAATGGGACAATATTGGTGATGTCATTGGCATCATCCTAACGTTATCTGCGAAAAAAAAAACAAGTAACTACCTCGTCATCTTTGAGCGCACCTAATGATTTCACATTAAGGATATGATAACTTTTGTCGATTTTCAGCGACGAAGGCGACTTCCCATTGAGCAGAAAAATACGAAATTTAGATATAACGAAAATCCTTGGCTCAAATTTGTCTCCTTTGTAGGACACTTCAGACTGTAAGGCCACACGATAGTCGAAAAACTTGTTACCAAGCACAGCTGATGGCTTTTCTGAAAAAAAAAGATTACTAAGTGAAATAGAAGCTCTAGTGTAAGGTGTTTATAAATGAGAGATCTAATTCTGAAAGATAACCCAACGTTTAACCTCTGACCTTGGCATGAACCTAAAAAGAAACCCGTCCAGGTAACTAGTAGGTAATTCATCGTTTTTCTCTGCGAAATTTGACGCTTCTAACCACATTTGCTTTTAACTACATTTAAAAGCTCATTTTCTTGCATGTATTATAGTGTAT